CAGTGTTTTAGTTTTACCATTGTTTCTAAGTGACGAGGAAACTGATTGGGCAGTGTTTTAGTTTTACCATTGTTTCTAAGTGACAAGAAATACTGATAGGGCAGTGTTTTATATTTACCATTGTTTCTAAGTGACGAGAACTACTAATAGGGCAGTGTTTTAGTTTTACCATTGTTTCTAAGTGACGAGAACTACTAATAGGGCAGTGTTTTAGTTTTACCATTGTTTCTAAGTGACAAGAAATGTCGATAAGACCGTCGTTTAGGGTCACTTTCGGTTTAATTATATAGATTTTTATTTCTTAGTGAGAATAAATGTTTTATAGCAAATAGCTCAAATATTTGTAAGTTAGAGTTGTACTAAAGTCATTAAAATAAAATCACGTAACTACAAAAATCACATTGACAAAACATTAACTTCATAAGTATATTTACTATATATATATATATATATATAGGGAAGAGTTAGTTATCTTGAAAATAGTTTTGAGAGCCATTGAAAAGATCCACGTTTATACGGTGTTTTTATTTAACAGAGGTAGGATTGAAACTTTTGTGTTTCTCATAACTAACTATTTTTATTTTCTGATGAGTTGTTAATTTATATTAATGGCTGATAACGTTTTGGCTACAAACACTATATTTTTTTATATACCTTGTGCATCTATTGCTTGTTTACAAATATATTTGATGTCTGTTAGTAGTGCCCGCCTTACAATTTGTACCTGATGTCTAAATAGTTCAGAAAAAGAAAACAAAAAAATATTTCCCTAACATTTAGGGGTGGGTTGGTCCTGTGGTGTAAATCTGGACTTCGTAGCTGGCAAACCAGATTTGCATCGGTACCCGATCCAAAATATTCCTCACATTTTAAACTGTGAGTGCGTTATAAAAGTGACAGTCAACTTCTTAGCGTGGTTTGTGGGCGGTAGGGTGTTGTTGACTGGCTGTCTGTCTCTAGTCAGTAGTCCGAAATTTGGGACAATGGCAGATAGCTTTAGTAACTTTGCTATAACTACAAATACTTAAAATTAAGGGACATCCGTGTGTAAGTTATGTGAGAATTCCTACAGACATATGGGTGAAAACTGTTAATAACTGTCTGTATGACTGCACGTGAATTTGGTGAAGTGAAAATGCTGTTAGGTATACCTTAAAAATGTGATTGCCTTTCTTGTAGGATGTAGAAGTTTCGAAAGGTGCCTTTTAGGGTATTGTTATGGTACCAAAAACACTTGATCGAATAATGTTAGTATTCCACATTTTTTAACTCTGCAATGTCTTCATCTTATAATTTGTTAATACATTTTTGTTATCAACCATAAAGCCAAATAATTACAAGGTGACTTTTCTTATTGAATGCGTTATTAGTATTATCGGCAGCATATGTTACAATCGCGAGACTTCAAATGATAAAATAACACACCAATTACGTTTATTTTATCTGAACTTGCCTTCAAGACTTGATTTAAAAACTGGGCTAGCACCTCGAAACTTCGTCCTCAAATAAATTTCAAAACAAATGGTTGAAGCCCATTAAAATCTTTTGTAATAATATATTCCTCCTCTTAAGTCTTCTGCTTTTAAACATTATGTTCGTGGTGAACCTTATCTATACCTAAGATTGGCTACTTTAGCTTTGAGCTCGTTTAAAAACTTAATTTTTATAAGAGTAACCAAAAAAACAGTTTTTGTTAATAAAGTTGCAACAATACTGAGTCCTTACTTTACCACCATGCTCAGTTTAGTAACTCGAGTATCTGTCACTGTAATAACACAGGCCTGCAATAGTTTTATTGTCTTGAAATTTTTCCATGTTCTACAGTAATTTCTGTACGCTGAATCCGAAAATGATATCCATTTTTCTCCATCACGTACAGATTTTTCACCAAACATTATAACGCAATACATAAAATAAAGACCACAACAC